ACTTAGGCATACATTCCGCCTCATAGGTCCGACGTCTCGTAAGTCCGTCAATGGACAAACGCTGTTTCCGACTCATGAGGCGTCAGACATAATGTGGCGTCGGACTTATGCGGCGCCGGAGCAAATACATTTTATGCCTCATAAGTCCGACGCCTCATAAGTCCGAAATTTCGGACTTATGAGGCGTCGGACCTATGAGGCGTCCGACTTAAATATGAGCGGACCCCTCTGGGCCTGTCCTTGAATCGGTTATGTCTAAATGTTTGGCGACTGATGAAGCATTTGGTTTTTGACAATTAAATGCTGCTCACAGCTCACTTACTTCAAATTAGTTTTATTCACACAGCCAAGTATAATTTTAATTAACATTGAAATACATACACTGTTGGTGTTTATACGGCGCTGTTGTGAACAAGTTTCGTTGAAAGAAACTACAGTTAATTTTACGTCTTTGGACGTGAAAATATGAAATACCGGTGATCATGCTGACCAAAGTTATTGGTTCTTATAATGTTGAATAGGCCTAAATTCATAGATAAAATGAAGAATTTCTTACAATTATAAGCACTTTGAAAGCATTGGTCGTGAGGTAGAGCTAGTAATAAAGCAATTTATACCTTTTCAAAGTGAGTCAGAATGTTATAACACACACAAAACAAACGCCTCTTTATTTCATAACTTGGTAGCAAGTGCATGTGAATCTGCTGACGCACCTGGACCAATTCCAAGTGGACCGTGAAAGTTAATATTATATCTTAACAACTATATTAATGTTATATCTTAATATTACCTTCTACGTGTCAAAAACAACATGTTCTACTTTTGATCCTTAATAACTTGTTCACCAATGGAATTAAACCAATACTTCAGATCATGTAAACAAGACATGACAAATTTTATGAAGCGAGTTCATCGGCTTTGTGCAAGAGTGCGAGATTTAAACGCCATACGAAAAAAGTCACTTTTTAGAATCTGCCACTTTGACTTGGCGTCCTCCAATGTCGATACAGCGCTGGGGACTGTAGCAGAAGGCGCGTGCTGCAGCTTCTAAAGGAATGCAGAATCATCCCTGATGTAATTAAGCAACCCCTTGATCGTTTGGCGTAACACATAATATCGTCACCGACACCACGAAGTAACACTCATGTACATACAGGTAAAAACTAGCAATCGGAAAAAAACGGCATCTGAAGTTGAACGCCTTCTAAAACAACACTTTGCGTCAAAACAGCAGAGTATTTTAGTTGGGTTACTCGTTGTGGACACTTGATGTATTGATGTCATTAAATTTGCTGTTTTTGACCAGTTTGTGTATTAAAACAACAAGAAATTAGAGAAAAAAGATGAGTGCTAGTTCGTGAAACCAAAAAAGCTGCGAAACTGTAAATTTTCGTTTTCACGAAGTAGCACGCTTCAGTGTATTACAACACTAGAAGAGTGTTACTTCGTGGAAACGGAGGTCAGCGCGCGCGCGCTCAAACAAGAAGAGTGTTACTTCGTGAAACGTTTTTGCTCGCATTTGAGAAGAGTGCGCGCTATGCATTACAATGGTAAATGGAACTTGAGTGTTACTTCGTGAAAACGAAAATTGTCACTTTCGCGCAAAAGTTGCCATGGTAATTAGCGTAATTATTAAAGTAAAGCTCTTGAAGATTTGAAACTTCGTGCAATGGTAGGCCTCGATGAATAATGTTTAAAAATGAAAAAAAAACTGAAAACCGAAAAAAATATGGTTTTACGCGTGGAGTGTTACTTCGTGGTGTCGGTGATGGAGGAGGTGTGCAATGACATCAGGGGTGATCCTACATTCCTTTCGAAGCTGTCGGAAGCAGCACGCGCCTTCCGCCAACTTCTCCAGCGCTGCAACTACATTCTGAAAGTTGGTATTTTTTCGTATGGCATTTATATCTTACCCTCTTGTGCTGATGAATCTCGCTCCTTAGTGTCACGCCTTGTTTACATGATGTGAAATGTTGGTTTTATTCCATTGGTAAACAACAGAGTATATTAATTATGATCAATAGTTTGACATGTTTTATCTGACACGTAGTGTTTTACAATCAAACATGGGAACTGGGAAAATGCTAAAGATTCGAGAAAAACCAATCCCCGTTGTTCTTTCCCATTTTTGGATATTGCGTTTTTCGATGCTTCGTATATACCATTAACAAGTGCCGGTGTGCTTGTTATTATGAGGGTATAATTATGTTCAGGTAATGCAATGCGTTTTTTAAGATGCGGTTCTATATCTATACGGGAAGGGATAGGGATATGTCCGTCCCCAAATCTTTTCACCTTCTTAAAAAATGGATAAATCAATATCAATATGTTAATGCAATAACATTATTTGAGATTTTGTTGTATATATAATTAAGTAACAAGTCTTTTGCTTTCAAAATTACTATAACGATTTTCACATCTGCGCGTGTTTTACCACTCCCCACCCCCCGAGAATCTAAATGTCAATTAAAGTTTCCGGTCATACAAAACAAAAACCCACATAAACTATAGAGCCATATGTCGTTTTTAGCCCGTCCCTATACCTTCGGGTAGTTTAACTGAAGTAAGCGAAATATCTTTGAAAAGATGAAACTATATACAGTCAGACATTGACAAAGTGCGGCTTCAATTTAAGTGATCTGATGAACCAAACAACTAATGCAATAAAGATACACAAAGATAACTTTTTTTGCATTAGTTTAACCAAAATAAAGGCAATTTCTGCAGAACACCACATGAAACTGTGCGCCGTGCATTAATTTGACAGTGGAGTGCAAAATAGTATAATCGCATGGATGGCTCAATATTGACAGTGCTCTCTCTATAATCAGTTTTGATGAATGATGAAAAGAGTGTTTTATTCAGACATTTCTTACGAAGAGGCAAACATTTCTAAGGAGCTTGCTGGATAAAACAGGTATGTCGATGTTAGCATGCATGGCGGATAAATTTGCAAACGGATTACAATAGTCGGAAACTCATAAAGTGAAGACCCACTCCACCTCAGCCAAGCTCACCGTGTAGAGAGTGTCTGCATGAAGTTGCAGAATTCACCGCCTCCTCACGGTTTATACGTCGACTACAGAATAGCTCGCGTAGCCCCTTGCGGAATTGACGGTACTTGAAGGCGTAGATGACCGGATTGACGCAGCAATTAGCGGCCACCATTGCCACGGACAGCAGGTAGTACCACCCGTCGTAGTTGAGCTTCCAGCCGAGATTGAACATGAGAAAGATGGTCTGGTTTGGAGTCCAGCACACCAGGAAGGTGATGAAGACGATCCAGAGCATCTTGAATGTGTTACGTCTAGCTCGGAGTAGGGACTCCATCAAACCTGCTGGTTGGGCGTTGCCGTCCCCGTTGGATGCTCCAGCAGCTGAGCTGATGACGGACGGTGCCGGTCCCACCCTAGCCGCTCCTCTCTTGAGCTCCACGCTGATGCGAATGTACGCGAACAGCATCACTGCCACCGGCACGATGTACTGCAGGACGGTCGTCAGACTCCCGATGACTTTCGAGCGATTCGCAGCATTCGAGACGCACTTACCGTCTTGCACCTTGAAGATGGTGAGACTGTAAGACTTAATAACGGTCCCCAAGATCCAACAAACCGCAATGACCACGCCAACTTTCAGTTTTGGGCGCTTGGCGAAGGCCGCTTGATACCTGAACGGGTGAACGATGGCGAAGTACCGCTCCAGTGTCAACGACAGCAGGTTCAATGTCGAAATAACAAACAGAAGGAAAAGTGAAAAGTTAGAGTACCACACGTTGCACACTATCAACCCGAGAACGCCGTCTGGCATTTGGTCAGGTAGCGGGACCCCACTCTGCAGAAGAATCATTAGTGAACCAAGAAGATCCACCGCAGCTTGGTGGAAGATGAAGGCGTTGGTACGAGTCTGCATCGATGAGACGTTACCGATGACAAGACAGACGAGACCATTGCCCAAGATGCCGACAATACCCACGATGGTCTTGAAGATACGCAGCCACAGGATCTCTTCCATGCTGCCTTATTTTCTGCGCTCTCTTCTAAAATAAATCGTCCGTTTTCTTCGTCTGTCTTCCAGATGCGGCCCAGCATCCTCTTATATAACTGATGATCACGTGATCACCAAATCATAATGCTTTTGTTATTATAATGTGTTGCGCTTGCAATGTAAATTAACGATTGTATGACATTTGAACTTCGTCCTCTCTGCAGCTGAAGTCTGAACATACGTTTAATCCGAACGTCATCTGACACCAGCGAGCGCTGTTGAATATATTGGCTAGGTAAACGAACTCGCACGTAGACAGTAAGTGGCGCTGTTCTATCTTGGCCGTCTTTGATTTTAACGACAGTCACGTGTTTTTGTGGACAAAATTAATTTTGCTGACAAAAAAGGAACTGGGTTTCACACCCAAATCATCCGCCTGATGACTTCCCCCACCCATCCGCACTACAGCACCTGATCAAACTTTGCACGTCAGACGGAGTCAGTCAAGCAATAATTACTGGTTGTGTATTTGCATCCACGAAAGCTTTCCCAATAAAAACCTATTGACGCACAACTCAGGATTTTGACCGAAGTACGACACGATGAACAAGTAACTGGAAGTCACAAGCGAATCGATTGTTAATTATTTTCTGACAATATAACACGTTAAAATCTATTAATATATCATAACATTTTAAACTTTGTTTCATGTACAGTGAGCTTTGCACAATTATAAGTCTTTTTTCATAAGATACCAATGTACCATTTTATCTGAGATCACACACATCTTAAAGTATTATAAGATGTTTACAAAATTAATGTGGGTTAAGTAAGACAGATCTAGGTTTTCATCATAGGATTACTTTATAGAAATAAACATTAATTACAAACTCCAGTCTCTCAGTAAATTTTTATTAAAATATTTAGACTGCGTTAATGAAATACAGATGACACAGTAGGACTGTAACATTAACTGAATTGCACCTAAAGGTTTCTTGCATGTACAATTTTAATACCAACTTAATGGCACTGTCACTTAGATTATTGTTCTGTTTAGTTTTAAGATAAACGTTTTATGAAACAATGCACTCGTCGTATGCATCACACATTGGCTTTGGTTTATCTGTGCCACCCCTCACAGTCAACGATTGCTCAGCTTTGCTACACCCACAGGCCGAAGCTGCATTTGTAAAGTCTTGGATTTCACAGAGAGTTGCCCTGTCCTCTGTTGGTACGATGAGGATGTTACACTGTGTGGCCTTTTCCTCGTACATCATCCTACTTGGGCCACTGGCAGGGGGACCATTTTGTTTTTCACCTGACTCTAATGTTTCTATGTCATGTTTTTTGTCGCTTGGTATCCCGTCTGCAGCCACTTCATATGTTGTTTCTGCACCATCCGGGAGGCCTTCCCGTTCAGGTTTTACATCACAAGACATCACCAAACGTGGACTTCCATCTTCTTCCTCTTTATTGTCGCATCTCTCCTTGTCGTTTTGGATTGGTTCTGCATCATTATCTTGTTGCAGCTTACTTCTCTCCACTGTCAAGCAACCTGGAGACTCCATCTGAGGCTCTATGCCCTGAATAGGCACCTGTTGATCAGGCGAGTGTACAGAATGTCTGTTGCCTGTTCCCTTGATATTTGACAAATAAAACGAATGCACATGTGGACACAATTTAATCAAATGTGCACACCAAAACAAAGAACCAAAAAAATTCGTTAATCTCCAGTCTTTTATATAAAACGACCTTTTACACAAGCATGCATGTAAATGTACACACACATAGCAGTACGCCTATGGCCACAAATAGCCAAGAAAGTGTATGTGGTCTGCAACCAAAACTGAAAATAGCCCCAAGAGGATACAGGAGCCCCACTCCAAACTTATCAGAATTTATATAGGCTTAACCTACGCAGAACTGTGTGTCTCAGAAATAGATCATTGTGTCAAGAATATAATCAGTCCATTTAGGTATAGGCTAAAAAGATCAATATCTGATGTTTCTGTTTTTCACGTGTTTGCTTTAAAGTCTTCTTGACTTTCAATTGTCCAGGCCAGAAAAAATCTTTACTGATGTTTACTGGTGAATGATCTCGAGCCCTCCTGAAATGAACTAAAACGGAATTTAAATACCTGAAGCGTAACGACCAAAGAAAATATAACATGTTATACAGAATGAACCCTGACTCTGCCCTTTTTTTCTTTTACAATGGAGTGACTTGACTTTGACAATAAAAATAGAGAGAGAGATAAGCCCCTGCCATCACAATTATAATCAGGTGACCAAAGTTCATGCACCTTTGAAGTACACCCTCTAGGAACGCCACGTGCTTGTACAGCACAAAGCGAGATGCTGCTCGGCATATTGTACATGTGATTTGTCCACCATAAAAGCAGGTTATTTTGTAGTGAAAACGGCGTGTGAAGGACTGCTTCCTGCTCCACAAGTTCAGTCGGCCTATGTTCTCTAAAGGTATGATTTTATTGAATTATCTTACATATAAATTGCAAAGATGTATACAACAAAGACTGGTGTTAATGAACACGTGAAATACACGATAGACATCTATAGCAAATATATATGGGTAGGTGATGGCTTTCATTTTTGTATGGTTGAGAAAAACAATTTTGAGTACAGCCTTTTTTTCAGAGGTCCGTTAGCACAAGCACATACCCGTACTATTTACAAATTAAAATAGTAACGGGTTAACTTGGTATTTCACTTGAAACCACAAGTACATATCTCGATAAGGTTCATGATGAGATATTTCATTATATTCTTCTAACGGTCAATAAAATAGGCGCAGTTCCTTTATTGTTGACTATGCGATATGTTTGCCATGAGTCAGAAATGGGTGTCAGCCATAGAGCTGTATTAAATTATATAGCTCTATTGTGCAAGCTGAGTTCTGCAACACCACAAGTAACTTAGTTTAAAACAAAATGACACAAATTACTCATGTCTCACCTCTGTGACTTGGCTACTGAATTTTTCCATTTCAAGCTTGGTGGATAGTAGGAATCCTACAACTTTCCATGTGAATTTGAAAAGAAAGACAAAATGTCACATAATCATTAACAACCACTGTTCATTATTAATTTAAGCAGTAGTCATTCACACACACACAAATCCAAATTCAATACAAACATCTAGACCTCACTGTGATTTTTGGCAAGGTATGCACCCCTGTAGTTTGAAAATATGTGATAGCATTGCAGCAGTGGCAGCATTTTGGGTGTTATCACTTTTTAAAAATAAAATGGCGGGCAAGACATGCATGTTACCACATATAATTAATCCAAGTCAAGCATATTGGCCGTCATCTTGAAGAAAAAAAATTCAAAGTGATAACACCCAAAAAACTGCCACCAATCACACTGCAAAGCTACCACACATTTTCCACCTCTAGATGTGCATACCTTGCCAAAAATCGCTATGAGCATTGCTCCTTTCGATCATTTGATACCGGTGGCCCAATTTTTGGACCGAAGCTGATAGCCTAATTGAACTTGAATTCAAACAAAGATTTGTGAACATATACTAGGCAGGTGTGCGGATTCAAGAAAATGATAAGGAATTTATATGTTTGTGCTCTGTTTTCTTAATATTTTCACTGATTTTCATTTCGTACGTGATCATTGACAACCATTGTTCATCATTCAAGCAGTACGTAGTCATTCCCCCCCCCCAAAAAAAATCAAAATGCCACACAAACAATGAACTTGAATTCAAACGAAGATTTGTGAACATATACTAGGCAGGGATGCGTATGCCAGAAATTAAAAAGGATATTATCTGTTTGAATGTGCTCTGTTTATTTAATATTTTCATTGATTTTCATTCATTTCGTACATAATCATTGACAACCATCGTTAATTTTTTAAGCAGTAGCCAGTCACACACAAAAAACCCAAATGCCACACACACATTGGACTTGAACTCAAGCGACGAATTGTAAATATATGACTTGAGATATACCTGCATGTTTTTGGTTCTGCCACTGAGAACATCAACATACATGGGTAAGGATTCAAGAAATCATAAAGGAAATTATGTGTTTGTACTCTGTTTGGTATATTTTTCGGTCTGTTGATGTACATATTTATTAATTGTGTTCATTGTTCATTTTTTTTCGGGGGGAGGAGGGAGATGAGTAAATCCTTCTGTAAATCCTTCACTGCACACAAAATTTGCAAAATTCAGGGTGCTAAAAACTGAAGTCCAAAGCAGATCCGACTTTTACATGTACATACAGCAACTCATGCTGGCCAGTCTTTTAATTAAGTCGTCAAATAAATGTTAATAAAAAAGGGTTTATGTGATGTTAATAATTACCTGGTTGTGAAATTTTACCCTGTAGAAGTGGGCTCTGTTGACACAAGTCGTTGTCTAACTGCAAAACCTAAATGACGGAGAAATATTAATTACCATTCTTGTTCCATTTGAAGAAAACAAGGTCTGAAAGCCTGCCATATAATTTGAACAAGAGGTGCATTCAAAATGGATCTAACATTTTAATGATTGGTGAGATTCTGATACAAGTGCACAAAAATAATGCTCAAATTCCTGAACGTGTAAATTAAACCTATAGTACGTCACGTTCATTTATTTTTGTGACTTTTATCTCATCTGTAATCTCTTTCATTATTTATACTAGGTGTTCAATGAATCGGATCTGATTACATTGGAACAAGTTCGCGAGACTCACCTCCTTCAGAACTTGTTCACAAACTTTGCTCATTGCCTTTGCAGGAGCCTTTGTAATTGGCCTACGAAATAAAAGGGAGTTTAGTTTGTATATATATTTTTTTCAATTCAACAGAATCACAGAACATTTATTTTGATACCTTCAGTAGTAAAAGAGATATGAGCAGAGTACACTTATAGGGTGCATACCCAATACCTATGTTCCCCAATTCCTATATGTTCCCCAACCCTAACCCTAACCATCTGACCCTAACCCTCATCCTAAGGGTTTTGGGGAACATAGGTATTGGGGAACATAGGTATTGGGCATCAAAGGTATTGGGGAACATCGGGTAGACCCCCAATCATAAAAAGATAACTGAAAATAACACTGGTAATTACATGTAGATGTGAACTTGCCATGTAACAAATTCTAATGACTTGAAAACAGTGTCATAATTATACAACTCTTTTTCCCTGCATATTGAATGTCTAGAAAAGAAGCATTTTTTTCAGCGAAGTCTGATTCAAGAAGATCCCTAAATTGGTGTGAAGCTTGCATTAACGGAATTAATGTCAAAGGTCTAAAGCTGTTCAAATCCTGTAAAGTTGTGGAAAAAAGTAAAAAAAACCATGGAAGCCTGTTCACAGAAGCCACATTACGTCGCTATTGTTGAATAATTATTTGTGGCTATTACAGTATGCACATGTATAAAAAAAAAGCTTTAAGAAATTGTCAGAATGTAAAAATGTTCATGCAATTCTGAGAAATGTTTGATTTTAATTTTACTTACCTGTCTTTATTGTCAACCACTGGTTTTTCTCTAAAAGCATGACCTGTGCAAAGTTCAAGATGAATGAAAAGGAATATAATGGGATAAAATTCCTCAACCTAAAATGCTTGCCGGAGTTTTTTCCCGGTAACAGTGGCCAACTACAAATCAGAACTTTGTAAAACGGTCTCATCACACCTACTTTTATACACATTTATAATATCTAACTTGGCAATTTTGGCAATTTTTTTTGGGTTAAGAACTTCTCTAGCAAGTGACAAGTTATTCAACGCAAATGAAAATTGATATGACAACGGCATTTCTTTGCGACCTTGACTTGTGTTTGAAGTCATTTTGAAGTATGATGTGACTTGTGACAGATTTAAGATTTGACTGAAGCTGAAATGAATGCATACACATTCACAGCCCAATTAATATTCATTAAAGTAAACTGACCCTGATCACCCTTTTGACTACCTGATACAAATGCTTTCCACTTGAATGAGTTTGCTTCTCTGCGTACACTCCTGACGTCTTCCTTCTTCAAAGAATTCTGCTCTTCTGTGGCTTTTCCTCTGTTCATTGTGTTGGATAAGTCTACAGGACTGGCTGTGCTGGTAGATATTTCAGGACTTGCAGGATTTTCCTGGCTTGTTTTTCTCGAGCTCACTTTAGCTCGTTTGCAGAATGGCGACAAGAAATCTCCCTCCTCTTCACAAATTAAATCGACTTGCTGCACTGTCGACACCGAATCCTCCTGTTGCCTCTGTCCATGACGAGATTCTTCGTGATGATCACAGACAGTTGTAAGGCTTGAGTCCGATACCCAGTCCTCACTATGACTGGTGTCTGAGATGGGGTGTTTCGTCATCTCATTTTCTCTTGGACCGGTGGTATATTGTGTGAGATCAATGGGGCTAGAGTGAAGTCCTCCACTTTGAAATTGCAGTCCTGGTTGGGATGAATGAACTGGCATCTGGTCATGCTGGAGAAATAAAAAGTAGAATGTTTAAAATCATGACGAACACCAAAAGTTGTTAATATAACCTCAACAAAAATGGCAACATTTTATTTATTTCAAAGCAACGCCATGCGTGATGGCAATATAAAATGGTGACTGTGCCCCCTCCCAAATTAAAACATTTAAATCATTAGCACATTTACTTAATTTTATTGCATTGTATTTAAACCCTGGTGGAAGCATACATATATATGTAAACAGAATGTCTCATTAATGAGTGCCTTATCAAAGATCATATTAAAATATGCTATCAAAAAAATGTTTCTAAAGTTTGTGTACAGCTATCAATCTCATAAAAAGGTTCAACAGGTTCAATTTAGCATCGTTATTTATATTTAATCTTGAACTTCATCCGATAATAATTGAAAGGTCATCCAACTTATTATATGCAGTGGTGGGGTTGGCGCACTTTGTGAGACAACCAGTGCTTTGAAACACATTGCACTAAAATCAGTGCAGCTGCCCAAATAATAACTTCATTCTCTAAGACACAATCTTTACTTGGTTTCTTTTGTCACACAGGGACTGGGAGCAAAATGCAAATTTCAAAATCAGTGCAGCTGCCCAAATAATAACTTCATTCTCTAAGACACAATCTTTACTTGGTTTCTTTTGTCACACAGGGACTGGGAGCAAAATGCAAATTTCATTTCTCTCACACAAAATATGCCCAACATGAATATTCAGAACTGAATATTCAGGCACAAGGTCGCGCGCATGAAGTGAAAACCGACGATGCATAACCAATCAAGCACAACATATGACTGGCCGATAGAAGTTTTGCAAAATACATTGCAGGAATTTTGAAACTGCAAAATGAGACTGTCACAGTAGTTCCATATGAAAAACAATAAAGCACTTGGGCAGTTTTGGGCTCCACAGGGAGTAATAGGCACAGCAGTTTGGGCCAAAGGCTTACGGGTTAATCACAATTGGACATCAAATAAAGAATCTTGAAGACATTTTGAAATGACAAATTTTCAGACTTGATTTGCCCTGGTGGGTTTGATTAAACTTTTTTTTCTATTTTTGGAAGAGAGTAGCATTTTTGCGTCAGCCATATCTCAAAAACACATGTTACTTTAGCCTATTTTTAAAATATGGCTGAATCAATAGGAGGGCATATAAGAATTTAACCACCCTTAATAGTGCCTTCCTTTCTCAAAAAGGCCGGTTGGAACACAAGAATCTTTGGGCTTGTAGGAGGGCAATAGTGTTTTTACCTCAAAAGTCGGCTGGGAATCGGGATTGAGCATGATGAGGGATGACGCTGCACTGGATTCAGATGGGATAGATGACAGTGGGCTGTAGTCAAATCTGATGGTAAACCCGAAAACAAAAATGTTACAAAGACATTTTGTCGTATTTATAATACTTTGTTGACCTGAGCAAAGGTAATATTTATTTGTGGGAAAAAAGTATGGTGTCATCCTTTTCATCCTTTGATTTCTCTAATGATCATTAATTTTAAGAAGTCATGTTGAAAACCTTGCACATCCATTTTGCGACTTTTGAGAGAGTAGTGTTGCATACTCGCATATTTGCTGCAATAACTGACTGCATAACTATTGTGTTCTTTTCTGGTGTTTACAAGAGAAAAATATGCTAGTGTTACAGTGCAACAGATGTTACACTGATACACCCCCAACAGTTTCTAATTAATGATCACTGCCAGAGAGCTTCGATTTACTCTGAGGTCATGTGAACATCCATGGGAGTGTGCACAGCCCACAGATGCATAAATCAGACCTCAGGGGGCTAGAACTTTAGTCTTAAATGGGAACTCAAATGGGACAAAGGGAGGGGGAAAGAGGCTAAGTCGGCTATAGCGGGGTGCAGGCCGGGGGGGGGGGGGGTGGCTTCATAGGGTGGCCCCCACCTAGTCCCCCCATCCTGCTCCCACCCTCCCCCCCCCCCCCCCCACCCCACCGGAAAAACAATACCCTTGGTCCTCTAATGTTGTATTATGTTAAAGAGGTTGTGGAATGCTCGAAGACATTTCCGTAATTTTTTGGGTATATGTAGCCTAAGGTGGGATGAAATAAAAACAACTATTGTTTCTGTCATGAAATGAATACAAAACGTACTTTTGAGAGCTGTTTTTCAGCTGTTTTTCGACCCAAACGTGCAATTTGTGTAAAAGTCGTCATTGGGGGCAGCAAACAAAACATAGTAAATCGTGACGTAATAAACAGGACTCCCTATGCAGCGTAGTATAAACGAGTCCTGTTTATTACGTCACGATTTTTTTGATTTAACAAAGAACCCGACGACTGTTGATTTCAATTATGCGCTCGCCGACCAACAAATTACTCGATGAATTTCAGTTTTATTAACATATACACGCACATTACAAAAGAATGGGAGGTTGTCATTATGATATATATGGGTCTACTCTACAATAAAAAAAATATAAAAAACAAAACGACTTTCAGCATTCCACAACCTCTTTAAGAGCTGTGCTTTCCGGTAAATGTACACTTACTCTTCACTGAGCTGTTCATCACTGATGACAGACAGATCATCCGGTACTTCTTTCTTGATGGTGAGGGTATCGTTCGGTATGCAGCTGAAGAACAGATCCTCAAAGTGTTTGCCTTGGTGTTGCTGTGGTACTGGTGTTTGTGGGAATTCCTCTACCACAGGGGTGCTGTGAAACTGGCTTGATGACTGAATGCTTGGATAACTCCAACAATCACTATACTCCGTCTGTAAATAATACGTTTTTATAGTACTTCTCCAGAAATTTCTCGTCAGATGAGTTTTACACTGTATGCCATTGTCAACAAATTTTGCAAAAGAGTTTAAATCGATGTGCAATGTTCATTTTGGATGTTTGCAGTCCTTTTTAAATTGTCTCTTAATACACTGTGTAAGGCCCAAAAAAAAAAATACTCGGTCTCTGGTCAGCGCACGTGGATTTAATCATGCATGTCAACTTTTTTTTTTTTTAAATTAACACGGAAGCTACAACAGCGCCCTCTATTGACGCGCCTCCTCAAATTTTTGTACCAAGGAGCACCAAGGAATGGGGAAATTGCACCAAGGCAAATGATAAAGGGCACCAAGGCAGATTATGGAGGACACCAATGTATAATGAGGACACAAAAAAGCAAAATAGTACCCACCTTGTCTGTATAATACAAGCTTGAAAAAAAAAAAGCCACCAAAAAAAAGAAAAAAAAACGCGTCGCCGCATCAATTCCGGAACTTCGGTCTGACCAGAGACCAACTATTTCTATTTTTTTTTGCCTAATACATGCACGTATAGATTTCAAATATACATTAATTCGGTACATTTTGTGATCAGCTCCATTCATTATTATACCTCCTTGCTGTTTTCTTTTCAATAAAAACAACAAATCCATGAGTTTGGCTTTAAATGTATCTATTCATTTATTGGGATCTTGAAAATTGATATTGCAAAATTGCAACACAATTGATACAATAATACAGAAACTGCTGAATACCTTCGGGGCTTCTCCAGTTTTCATTCCATATGTGTCATACTCCAGTTGTTCCGATGGTGTTGTGAAAGATGAGTAAGCTGTTTGCATGTGCTCCTTAGAGTGTGGATAATCAGTATTTCTGTGAAGAAACAACAACTCAATTTCGATATTTCAGCCTTTAAAAATCAAATGAGTTAAAAACATCTCTCGGAACACTCCATCCATTTAATTAAGGCATATAAAATGTATTGCAGGCAATAAATACTATACAAATAATGGTGAATCTAGATCTAAAGAGAAATGACCTATCATGCACCACAATAGATATACAGTAATCTGCAAATCAAAATTGTCACGAAAACTTTCCTGTTCTGAAGAGAGATTCACCTTGTTTGAATTTATTAGTAGCATCATAAGCATGAAGATATCATAATTTCTCTAAATAAAAAAGTCTGCACGACAAATTATTAACCACCTACACACATGCAAATGATTTTTGACCCCATTAATATGGTGCTCATTCAATAGGATTGAGAAGCCTTTGGTTTTCACTACACAACTTTATTCGGCTCAATGCACATACATGCCCAGCTAGGTGCCCATTTCTTACAAGCTTTGCTTCTTTATGGGTCCCTCTACGGTATCTTTCATAGTTATTGTTTCCTTATCTTCGACTTTATTCAAAATGTTTTTCTGCTATTCTCCATAAGATTCACATTGTCGTTGTCATTGATATTTTTTGGTACTATGAGAAATAAACTGAACTGAACTGAACTGAACTGAACTACTGCCTGCAAGTCTCTTTGAAAACTGTCTTTAACTTTCGACAATTCCTTTTGAAATAATTATTTGGGCACATTTGGGAAGTAGCCATAAAGATACTCATACATTTGGGGAGTAACAGTAAAGATACCGTCCTCTTCTGAGTGCCAAGAAGACCAAGGCCATGGCGTTCAATGAAACTCTGGGTGGAAGAGACCTAGAAATTGCCTAGGACACTAAATGGATTACCAGCAGTGAGAAGGATTTTAACATCAGAAAGGCACATGAAGGCCTGTAACGTCATGGTCAAAATCTGGAAGAGTAAATTGCCGAGAGACCTTAAGATTAAGCTGTTTACTGTCACCATGGAACCAGTTCTAACATATGCTGCAGAACCAGTTCTGACATATGCTGCAGTAAATTGGACACTAACATCAAAGCCGAAAAGGCCCTACTAGTGGATGGTTGCTACACCAGTCTACTAAGGAAAGCACTCAATGCTCCATGGCAAGCACATACCACCAATATGGACTTGTATGTGAGACTAGGGCTAATTTCTGAGAGGCTGAGAACAAGAAGGCTGAGATTTGCAGGACACTGTGCAAGTAGAAAGGATGATGTATGATGGATAGAGTGGTTTAAAGAGCTATCACTTGAGTCCCATCTTCAGAGTAGCCATCAGCTAATAAGCAAGTACATGTAAAGATACCTTTGATCAGGATCTTGCAGTTGTAGTTTGGAGGGAGCGCCAGGTGACATGGAAAGCTCCAACTCTTCACAGCGATGATGAAGTGGGAAAAGACCTCTACTTCTGTCCAGTTCAACCTTCTTCACTTGGGTCTTAGTACTTTTCACGCTATCTAAATACATTACAAGTGATTGCATCAGTTTGATGGTCTAGTAGATAAAAAAAAGTTAATCCCATTTGTGACCCAAAGTGGAAAGATTAACACAGGGGTGTGAGTGACCACTGACAAAAATAGCTGAAACAGCTGAAAAAGGTGTAAAAAAGCTGAACTTTGGAAATCTCCTATACTTGTGTACACAGCAAGTGAGGGAAAAAGCTGAAAAAAGGGTGAAATCCAACACAAAAAAGCTGAAATCAGCTTTAAAGCTGAGATTTCACACCCCTGTTAACACTTCTGATTTTGAAATGAAAATTGCTTCACTTAAGGTAAAAAAATATATATTTCTGCTTCCGATTACATGGCATTTGAAAATAGGGTAGGAAGGTAGGGATTTTGGGGGTTTTTTGCAATTTTTTTGTGTACGATCATATGGAGGTATTTGCGTGTAGTAAAGGGTTAAAGGTAGTATTTGATGATTTTGGGGGTTTTCCCCTCATTTTTTTCCGAAAAAAAATTAGGGTAGGGGCTGTCAAAAATAGGGTAGGTAGGGTAAACGGAAGCAGAACTATTATTTGTTTTGGCCTAAGCACTTGCATAAAGTTGTGAACAAGTGTGCTAAAAATTATGTATAAAAAAATCCCAGTCTCACAGGAAACAAAAGGTGCAAATGCTATGAAAAACTTGTTTGTGGATTATATATGAATTATAATTTGCAAAAAAAAAAAACACCTGAACAACTGGGCCCATCAAATTATTCCTCTCTTTCCGAAACTGAATGTAGAAACACACAAATTTATACATTTTTTAAGATTTTCAAGTAAGGTACAGAGCTTGCATGGAGCGCCCTTCGCTTTTTTTTTTTTGTTCGTCTATGCTAGGCTTGAGTCAACACTTTGTACTTTCATTTAAAACAAAACTTGTCAACACTGGTGAGAATGCTCCGTGCAAGCGAACTCTCTATTTAAGTATTACTATTAGGCCCAACACACCACTTTTCCTGAACTTCTCGGCACTGAAGTCTGCAGCTTGTAGCGAAAGAAGGTCCAGGCTTGCTCCAAGACTTCCTTCCTTTCCAAAGCTGGACCTTTTCAATTTCTTCACTTTACTTCCGTATTTCATTTTCTCAAAAAAATCCTGTGTGAAAGACAGAAGCATTTATTCAGTCATACTCTTTTTAACATTTCGTCAGACTATTAAATGGCCGCTTTAATTGTGTGTGTTTAACAGTTTTAAAAAGGCATAAAATACTGAGATGATGGGCCTATATTTGCGTGGTTAGTAGGCCTACTAACCTTTTGTCGCTGTTTCTCATCTTTTGTTTTTAGTCTGTTTCTGTAAAAAAAAATCAAACTTATTATTGTACAATTAGGCCTAGTAATATGGTTAGAGTTAGCAGGTTAGGCCTACTCTAAAATGACAATGATAGGTTCCTTCCTCGCTCTGGTTCAGTGTTTTCCAAATATCGACTTTGTTTATCGAAGAGGGAAAGTATTTATACAGAGGAGGCCATGATCCCTGCAGTGGCGCACCCAAGGGAGGGGGGGGGGTCTCTTGGGGGGCTTGAGCCCCCCCCCCCCCAGGAGGTTGTCAATTTTTTTTTTGGAATTTTTTTTTAGTCCCAGAATTTGACCTTGGTGATATGTATGTTGCCTTTTGATAATAGGGGTGAAAGTGGCACCACCAACGTCAAAATAGTCCCCCCCCCCAAAAAAAAAGATTTCTGTGGCCAACAATTTTTGACCAATTTTTTTCAACAATTTCCTAGGCCTAACCGAGGCTAACGTTAAACTTCTAAAAAAATTGAAAACAAAATTGTGAGTCCCCAAAGTTTGTTTTTCTTGGTTTTTCCAGCATTTTCGAACACAAAACTTCAAACATGTCATGTCAGTGTAGGCTAATAATAGGGCCTACTAGTAAAACCCCTAAAATAGTTCATTTCTGAAAATTACAGCAAAAGCTAGCTGGAGTTACCCCCAGCCCTGAGTTTTATCATTGGATTGTCATAGATGACAACCCAATGATAAAACTCAGGGCTGGGTAACTCCAGCTAAGCAAAAGCCAATGATGTACATTCCCTTTAAATTAATACCGTTTGACCCAGCAACAGTTTTAAGTTACGTGACTCAACCATGATCATGACCATGTCAACCATGACCATGTCATTGTCAACCATCCATGTCCATGTCAACTGGAGTTTCCCATCCATGTTCAATTCGCCATCCAATTCACCTACCTGACCCCACCAACCCAGTTCATCTCGACAGGCTTGAAACACAATCAGGTCCAGACCACAAACTTCTTCAATTAAAGTTTTGTTGAATTATTTTTAAAAGTTTCTTGGACTTATAAGTTGTAGGATAGGCCTATCTCGTCATGGCCCTGGCATTTATTACATGTATTATTTTCAAGCCAAACAACTGAGCAGACGACAAGAAGCAAAAATGCGCGTTGCCGATTCGTCAAAAGTTTGGTTGGGAAAAAAAAGACAGGTCACCCTATTGAGTCACATTTATTAGACAGTTGAGAGACGTCAGGAGGCCAGTTCGTACGCCGGCAAAAAACCTCTCCAAGTTTTGACAATGGTGGCGCTGCCGACCAATTTTGGATCATGCCATATAGACAGGCGCCTAACAGAGCTTGTTAAATCACGTATCTTTTTCGCATAATAACACGAGATACCACTCAAAATTATTGACACATTAGGGGCAGGAAAAATTTTCCTTGTTATGAATTTTGTCTTGGGAAGCTGTTTTGGGTAATATTATCCTTTTGTGTTCACTTTCCTTTTTGTGAGTATGTTAACGATCGTAAAGATTTTGCAATACATGAATTAATAATAAATAATCGGATTTCGAAAGGCACATATCGCCCCAACCAAGCCCCGGCCCCCAGCCCCGGCCTCGCGCACCCGTTGACGCAGGCCCCGCGTTAGCCCCATAAATGTGGCCTATTTACTGGACTGCCTCCGTAAACATAGGCCACACGTCCACATGTACAAAAAACGTGTCGACTTTGCCAAATTTTGATTTTCACATTTAGGCTTAGTTTGTAGGATTTTTTTGCTTTAGAAGCATACTCACCCACTTTATAGGCTAGTCAGAAAGTGCTGCCTTTATCAGATGTCAAATTTTTGTGAAATTTCATGTTGAAATTTTGATACGCAAACGTGTAAAAATGAATCTGGAAATTTCACGAAAAATATACATCTGAAAATGGCAGCACTTTCTGATTAGCCTATAAAGTGGATAAGTATGCCTCTAAAGCAAAAAAATCCTACAAACTAAGCCTAAATGTGAAAATCAAAATTTGGCAAAGTCGACACGATTTTTGTACATGTGGACGTGTGGCCTATGTCTACGGAGGCAGTCCAGTAAATAGGCCACATTTATGGGGCTAGCCCCGCGTATACGGCCGCGCTGCGCTGGCAGTCACTGCTCGACTGACTGACACCGTCTAAGGCCGGCGTGCGCATTGTAAACGGGCGATTGTGTAGTTTAGGATCCTTTCCCTATAACTTTAAATAGCGTATCAGAAAGAATGTTGCAACCTGACGCCACTTCAGCGGTTATGTACAAAGTCTATGGAGAGTTAAGAAAATTTTCTAATTTCCTAACAAAATTGGAAATGTTTCTCAGTCCCAGATTCATATCATCATTTTTTGCTATGATGAATGACCTTCGAATCATTCATTCATGCATTTCCTTTCTCTCTGAGTCACTTTTAATAACTGTTGCAGACCAATCGACAATGACTTGCGTGTGTAACAAGTTTTACCAATTTTACTTTACTTAGCCAGCATAGCCAGTTGTTTTATTTTATCTCAGCGCAGGGCAGAGAAAAAGCAATTTCTACTTAAAAATTATTACGATTCATAAAGATAAAAATAACATAGCAATAACACTGCCAAGTGATGCAGGAGACCCACAAAAAGCACAGCTTGTCGTGTGTGAGTCCCCATGAATAACAAAAGAAGATACAGGAAAAGGGAACGATAATAAATATCAACAAGCACCCTCAATCCTGTAGTTTACTTGAAGTTGAAGTGTTTTGGGTATTAATTCTACATTTTATAACTGACATTTTGTGAAGAGATGTTTGATTGGTATCTATTTCTCTAGTCCAAGTAAACTGGGACCCAACTTATCGCCTTATTATCATTCAGACATGGTCTGGTGATTATAGGGTCCAAGCTAAACCGCATCAATCAGTTGACACAATTTTGTCATTGACCCCAAAACCCAACATTGTCCAACAAAAACATCAGATTTCACCCTCAAAACGGCCTACAAATAACTAAATATGCCACCTGAGGTACAGGTAGAGATTGATGATTAAGATCGAGGTACTAAAGTTTACTTACGACCTTGGGTGGCGTATCTAGTAATTTGTAGGCCATTTTGAGGGAGAAATCTTATGTTTTTGTTGGGCAATGTTGGTTTTTTGGGTAAAGAACAAAATTGTGTCGACCGATTGATGTGGTTTAGCTTGGACCCAACTATCGCCAGACCATGTCCGAATGTTGAAAAGGCGATAAGTTGGATCCAAGTTACTCGGACTACTATTTGTCTGAGATTCAGACAAGATGTATTTGTCTGATATTTTCAGTTCCATTTTTTTACAGGTCTGGATAGATGCAGCTGGAAATGTGTGCCTGTTGCCTTGTGAAAGAACTTGTATTTTGTAATGCTCACATTACTAGGAAAATGTTCTTGCCAACTTCAGTGCAAATACATGAACCAGTGTGCAACGTCAGTGTCTTTCAAAACAAATCTGGACTAATTTATTCCTGACACTGATGACTACTGTGTAAGCTGAAGAGAAAAAAAACACAAACAAGTGCTAAACTTCCTTCTGCAAATTACGTCTTTCATAAAAGCCAAAGATGTCTCGACTTCTGCAACTCAAGGACTCTCTTAGGAACCTGAAATCGTCCAACTTTAAACATCCGAAGCTCCTAGCTGGTGTGGCGCTCTCTGTCGTAGTGGCCTATGGTGCCAAAGACCATGTGCAATACGCGTGCTCGGTAGTTAAAAGCATCTTTGATGACATCACCTCCAAGCATAGCGACGAGTCCAAAAAAGCGCTCGCCATGAAGCGGAGCAGTGTCGTCATCATGGACACCACCAAGGACGAGACTGGTTCGTCCCACGCCGTCAGTTCAGAACTGAACCGCAAACTGATCCGCCTGATCAAGATCATCATGCCGGGGATCCTGACCAAAGAGTTTGGGCTCCTCTTCCTCCACACCATGTCTCTGATCTGCCGGACTTTCCTGTCGATCTACGTGGCTCATCTGGAAGGGAACATGGTGAAGGCGATCGTCAACAAGAACATGATGCAGTTCCTCCTGCACATCCTCAAGTGGCTCTTGATCGCCGTTCCCGCGACGTTCGTCAACAGCACAATCCGCTTCCTGGAGAGCACCCTGTCTCTGGCCTTCCGCTCCCGCTTGGTCAACCACTGCTACGAGATGTACTTCAAGAACCAGACCTACTACCGCGTGGGCAACATGGACACGCGGCTGGTCAACCCGGACCAGAACCTGACAGAAGACATCAGCACCTTCTGCGAGTCCGTGGCCCACCTGTACTCGCAGCTCAGCAAGCCCATGCTGGACATCATGCTGATGTGTTACACCCTCGTTGGTCTGGCTACCAAGAATAACTCGGGGACCAGCTTCTCCACCTTGATCGGCAGCCTGACGTTCATCGCCACGGCCAAGATTCTGAGGGCTGCCTCGCCCAGGTTCGGCCGACTGGTGGCTGACGAGGCTGATAAGAAGGGAAACCTCCGCTTTGTGCATTCCAGAGTGATTGCTAATGCTGAAGAGATCGCTTTCTATGATGGACATGAGGTACTGGGCTGAATAAATTATAAATGGTTTGAACATACAGTGTCAAGTACAGTATAAAAGAGGTATTCACTTCAAAAAATGTGTAAGAAAATGAAGTGACAAGCAATTATTCAGTAACCTTCATTCAGTTACGGGGTAGGCCTATATTTTCATTACTTGGTTCAGCATTTTTTTTTGTATCTGACTTTTCCATGGTTTTTCTAAGTATCGTTTAAGTTGAGGTTGTCTTTGTAGGCTTTAAAATGTAACTGTCCCATTTCTGTTGTGGTTGAACTCGGGACTCCATGACTCAAGTAGTAAATTCACTACTTTGCAAATTGTAGCAATCTAAATCATGTACATGTGAGGCATTCTGGCAAAATGAGTCGGAACTGGGCTCAGCCTGTAGTGGAGAAAAATGCAAAAAACCGGATGGGGGCCGATTTTTTTTCCCGATATTCAGATTTATTGATGTTTGTCATCATTGATATGTCTACCACACAAGTTTTCAGCAATAATATTCAAAAAATGTAAATAAAAAAGTGTTTTAAGGGAACCAACTTGCATCTGTCAATTTCACAACTACAAAAACAGTATTTTACTCTTTTGACATGTCGATAAATGTAAACTTTAAACAGCAATAACTTGTCAATGAAATTTCTGATTGAAATGCAACAAACGGTATTATAACAGACATTTATTCTCTTTCCTAATAATCGCAAACCCTCGTTTTGACCTCTGCCCAGTTCTTTCTCATTTTACCAGAACGCCTCATACATGTATGTGCAACACTGTAATCATTTACATGTATGCAAAGGTGTTAAACATAACGCCATAACTTTGTAGGCCTACATGTTCGTTCAAAGACCAAGGGCACCAAAAGACAGAAAGTAGATTGATCAGTTTTAATTCTCATCGTTGTTGATTCAGGTCGAGCATTCACAGCTGAAGCGTAGCTACGAAGCCTTGAAGAAGCAGATGAGCCTCATCTATCGTCAGCGTCTGTGGTACGTCATGCTGGAGCAGTTCCTTCTCAAGTACACCTGGAGCGCTAACGGTCTCGCCATGGTTGCCGTCCCCATTATCACTGCCAAGACTCGGCCAATTGGGCCCGGTAAGTAGAGTGAACGAACAGTACATGGCATTCTGCGACCACTTTCAAAAGTCCCATCGAGAGGGACAAACGGCAGGCGTGTACTGGGCCATTTCACGCTAGACAAATCTCAGAGTTGACGCGGGGTTGAAAACATTTGGCGTCCCACACTTGAACATTTGAAACCTTGTGTCAACCCTGCGTCAACCCTGAGATTGATTTCGCCCAGGGTTGAAACTCTCACCAGGGTTCAAAACGGTAGTAACTGAGTGAAATAAGCTAGGTTTGCACGTAAACAGTTTGAAACAATGCGGGGTTGAATGCGGGGTTCGAAAATAAAAACACTCAACCCGAGGCAGCACTGGGTTTGCCTAGGGTTGAGTTCAACCCGGATTTAGAGGATCTAGTGCGAAAAGGCCTTAAAGGTGTAGTCCATCATTTGTAATATGTGCATTTTTTTCGTTTGAAGTAACAAACGTTCTCAAAATGTAAAGAAGGGTGATAAACAACTAACCTCATGCAATTTCAGCTCAGCTTCAGCTGTATTTGTCGAGGAAAACAGCACTCTGGGATCTCGATTTCAAATCAGAAGTTGCTGAATCATATTTTGAATTTGGCCTGAATTCAGCGTCTGAAACACGTTCTCACCGAGCTGGATGCAGCTACGCGATGTCGCACACTGATCCGACGGGTTATAGAGGGTGCGCGCGCGTGTGCGTCTTGTAAACGCTTGCGCGCGCTTCGCCGTATTAAAAAACAAACTACTAACTACGGCCTCCCTTTCTTTGATTTCTTCAAAACGACAACATGCCAGAAAGAATCATTTCACAGGGAGTTTAGTCCCCTTACAATCTTTCAACCAAGTATGTTTTTCAACAATAATTACGTCAGTCGCTGTTTGGATAGCTGCAAATGATGGACTGTAGCTTTAAGTTTATTCCAAGTGTGCACGATCCAAATTATGTTCTTTCGTGTGGAGTTCGAAAGTCGGATGGGATGGATGCATTAAAGTGTTGGTATTTTGCGGAGTTGTAGTCAAGGTACTAATTGTGTTGTATCACAAGTCCAATCACAAGTCACTCACTAGTCCTACCATCCCAAGTAAACTCACAAGCTTTTCACACAAAATGTGACAAAAGCCTTGTGACTTGTGATGCACTACGGGTGATTCATCACGGTGACCTCAACTACAATACTGGTAATTTGATAACTTTATTTTGTTCAGATGGGAAGCCAGCCACCGAGACCGAGTCTGTCAGTCTTCGCACCCAGAACTTCATCACGGCCAAGAGCTTGCTGCTTAGCCTGGCTGATGCCATGGAGAGGGTCATGTCATCGTACAAAGAGGTGAGAGTGGTCCAGGCAAAGCACCCAAGGCTAGACCTCGAACCTTAGAGCAGGTTTAATCAAAGACCATTGGATGACTGCATGTAGTGACTGTTTTGAGACACATGTTGTGTCTGCATAGCATGCAAAGGCATCCAGTTGAACGGTGGTCAAATATCATTCAAAAACATATCAATACAGTTTAACTGCTTTACATTACAGTGGCATAGCAAGGGGATACCTCCCCTCTGCTAGCTACGCCGCTGGGATCGAAGGTGTCAAGGCCCCCTCCCCCTTTTTTTTAACGGAGGCCGGGTGTCCAATGAAAAATAAACTTGTCTACCTTTCAGCCTGGATGAAATTCCCCCCCCCTCCCACAGTAACATCCAGCCCCCCTACTACGCCCCCCCCCCCTCCCCCATCCAGATGATAACCCTGGCTATGCCATTGGTACATTACATTCTCCTTCAACATAACCAAAATGACCAATGTTTATACCATAATCCTCTATGGTATTTTGGCAAAAAAAACCACACTAATTGCTGGTTAGGGTCTGACATTTATGGCAAGCACTATGAGTGCCCGTCTGTGGCGGATACCGGCGCTTTACAAGTTCTCTTCTTCATTTATTGATAAATGCAACAACGTCCAACACTTGTCAGAATGAGAATCCTGCTCGGTGTAGCAATTTCTTTCATGTCAAAAATCTCAAGGCCAAACTGCCTGAGAGTCTGTGGTCACCAACTGCAGCAAGATACATCTATTGCATAGTTCAGTCTAGAGCGTGCAAATTGACTTCAAGAACTCCTGCGAGATTTTACGAGAATACAGCACATCCGGGCACCATGTACATATCTGCAACATGTGTAAAGCCCTTCTTTTTTTTTTGCATTCATTTTGTGTCCTTACCGGGCCCGTCCAATCATGGCAAGGGTTATTTTGAAGAAGAAAAAGAAAGCATTACAATTTACAACATACATGTATTGAAAATATTGCGAATTGATGACTATTATATATTTAAAATTGTTGATCTCAACTTCCGCTCACTGGATCATGCAGATAACAATTAGATAAAACACTGGAAACTGTGACTAGACTAGTTAGTGTTTGGTACCGAGACACAGAAAAAGTGAACGTGGACTGGCGAGACTTGCATGCTTTATGGGACTGGCTCTAGTTGTCTCAGAATTGGTTGTTTATGCACCCATGTGCCCAACCAATGGTGCACCCAAGGGCGGGGGGATGTTAGGGGGGCTTGAGCCCCCCCCCCCCCCCCCCCAAGAGGTTGTCAATTTTTTTTGGGGGGGGGGGATCAATTTTGTTTTTTAGTCCCATGATTTGACCGTGGTGATATGTATGTGGCCTATTTTCGAGTAGCATAATATGAGTGTAAATGACGCCGCCAATGTCAAAATAGTCCTTTCCCCCCACTCCCCCCCCCCCTCGCCACCCCCACTCCCCCCTCGCCACCCCACTCCCATCTCCCCACCCACCTCCCCCCCCCCCAAAAAAAAAAAATTGGGAAGTCCCCCCCCCCTCCTGCCCGCCCCCAAGCCAAATCCTTGGTGTGCCACTGCTTTCACCATATTTTGGATAGAGTTTGCCAAATAAAGCTTGAAACAATTATTATCTTCTTTTGTTTTCATTTCTTAGGTGACAGCCCTTGCTGGGTACACCTCTCGAGTGTCAGACCTTCTTGAAGTATTTGAGGATGTGAGCAACGGCCACTACGTCAGGGCACGGGTTGTCAAAGGTGGCCATAAGACCCCTCACGCTAAGAGCGTTGCACACGTAGAAGGTCCCTTAGTGGTTGCAGGTATGTAGGTGTACTGCTGGGGTGTACGTGGACCTTGAATAATAGAGGACAATAGGATTCACGATTGGGTGGAGGTCCTCAGTTGGAAATTGTGTACAAAAACCAAGGGGGTTCATAAGACCCCTCCTGCTGAAGTGTGACACACGTAGAAGGTCCCCATATATGGATTCTTTTGGGGAACTAATCCAACGGGCAGGTTTTCATGTGCAACCTCTATGAGAGAACACGGCAAAAACAGGCCCTTTTTTGCATCTATCGCGACCACTACATTCGACATTATTCGACAGAGTTTACCTTAGTTCTTACTACATTGTACAGTATGACCCTAACAATATATTCTTTCAGAAAATGAAAGAAAAACTGAATAAAACACCGATTTTCCCTCGCCAAAATTATGTTGAACACTGCATTTTTAGTCAAAAATCGCCTAGTTTTGTGTGTAAACCACGCGTTCAGCCAAGAACTGGTCCATTTATATCATCACAACATTAAATAGCGCCACCTGGGAGCTTAGATCTCTCGAGTCATTTTTCTTCGTCTCGTCAGCTTTCCAACAATATAACCCTTATTGTGATTGGTTGAGGTTTAGGCTCGCCTGTATTCAGACTGTGTGTGTGTTAGCAGTAGCTGCAATTTGGGGATTTTTTTATTATAGGGAAATTGGGATCAAGTTAGTCGCTGTTGGAACCTTCTACTGCCAATCACAAGTTGTCCAGTCCTAAATCAACTCACAAGTTATTCAACTGAGCTGTGACAAAAGCATTCTTTTCTTATTTGCGCTTAGCTAGTTACTTACGACTTGACTTGCAACTTGACTTGTGAAGTTCTTGTGATCACAGACACTTTGACTATAACACTGCTTTTTAATGACACCTATCTGCATGTGGTTGTAATGATCTTTTTTGACAGGGGAGGTCACAGAGACAGACTCCGCCCTCATTATTGCCAAAGATTTGCCAATCATCACCCCCAACAGAGATGTTGTCGTCAGCAAACTCTCCTTGAAAGTAAGTGTGCTGATATATGAATATACCCTTGGCAAAAGCAATTGACTAGCGCCTCTTGAATAAAGACATTCCCTCACAGACGGGCAGTGTAGAACTGGACAGCTCACTTGGCAGAAAGCATTGTTTCATTGCTGCGGAGGTTCGTCTCCCGTCAATCTCTTCTTTCATCCTAGTGTTTTTTTCTGTTTGTCTGTTTTGTTTAGCGTGGCTGTTTATTTTGCTTGACATCTCAATTGAATTCAATAGTGGGTTTTGCCCGTCACCGACGTATTTTTATAAACACTATATATTCTAGAAAAATCACTCGGATGGGACTCGAACCTGAGGTTGCTGAAGTATTCATAAGATGGAATTTGCGGCGGGGTCATGTAAATTCAATATCTACCGTTTGCCCTTCACCAACGTATTTTTATAAGCAATGTATAGTCAGTGTTGTTCCGAGTGATTGTGACAAAAATCGCTCAGGTGGGACTCGAACCCACGACCTCCTGTTTACTAGTGCAGACCATTGTTCTAGTCAAGTCCATCACAGTTCCCCACAAGTCCCTGCAAGTCCATCGCAAGTCCATCACAAGTCCATCACGAGTCCATCACAAGTCCATCACAAGTCCATCACTGGGCCATCACAAGTCCATCACAGGTCCATCACAAGTCCATCCCAAGTCCACCACAGGTCCATCTCAAGTCCATCACAAGTCCATCACAATTCCATCACAAGTCCATCACAAGTCCATCACAAGTCCATCACAAGTCCATCCCAAGTCCATCCCAAGTCCATCACTGGTCCATCACAGGTCCATCACAGGTCCATCACAAGTCCATCCCAAGTCCACCACAGGTCCATCTCAAGTCCATCACAAGTCCATCACAATTCCATCACAAGTCCATCACAAGTCCATCCCAAGTCCATCACAAGTCCATCCCAAGTCCATCACTGGTCCATCCCAAGTCCATCACAGGTCCATCACAAGTCCATCACAAGTCCATCACAAGTCCATCACAAGTCCATCACAAGTCCATCACAAGTCCATCACAAGTCCATCACAAGTCCATCACAAGTCCATCACAAGTCCATCACAAGTCCATCACAAGTCCATCACAAGTCCATCACAAGTCCATCACAAGTCCATCACAAGTCCATCACAGGTCCATCACAGGTCCATCACAAGTCCATCACAAGTCCATCGCAGGTCCATCACAAGTCCATCACAAGTCCTTCAGTCTCAAGTCAAGTTACTAGCCATTCCAATGAACTGTAACAAAAACATTCCTTTGTCATATTGTTCATCCCGTTACTTGTGACTGGGCTTATGAAAGGACTTGTGATAGACTCGACTACAACACTGGTACAGACATTTCACCACTCGACCACTGAGCTTGCCAGGGTCATCATCAGCTGGCTAGTTCGAATCCGATACAGCAGTGGGTACCGCAACCAAACTCTCTGCCTTATTTTTAAAAAAATTATGTTTGACTTGTTTTCAATCAGGTTACAGAAGGCATGCATCTGTTGATCACTGGGCCCAATGGATGTGGCAAGAGTTCCCTGTTCAGAATCCTGTGTGGTCTCTGGCCGGCCTACAGCGGAGAACTCATCAAGCCTAACCCAAAGGAGATGCTCTTCATTCCACAAAGGTAAGTTTAGAAATTGTTAAATTTTGTTCAAATGAAACCACAAAGGGAAACTTGATTTACCTGTCTTTAATAATATACATATCTCCAGCGCCTTGAGTACCTAATAGTTGGTAGATACGTGCGCTATATAAGACTCCGATATTATTATTATTATTAGGTTTCCCTTTGTCGCTCTTTTGAAAATTTGTTACAAAAAGCCGTATCCTCTCTGAGTGATCCCCGTTTGCTATTTCCCAGGTCTGTATCATGACTTTGGGCGTAATTCCCGGCTGCATGGTATATACAAGTTTATGGCTTCTGACTTGTACCCCTTGAACAAAGACACTGACAAATTGGGGAACTGCCAACATAGGGCTGGATAGCTCAGTTGGTAGAGCACCGGAACGGTAATCCGGAGGTCGCAGGTTCAAGCCCCGCTCCTGTCAATTTCTTTGCTTAACTTTTCAATGAAAAGTTTTTTGTTACAATTCTAGTTTTTTTTGGGGGGGATAGGGTTTGAACAAAAAAATATGACAAGCAATAGAGATTGGTCTTTGATTACTATATCATTTGGCAATGTTCTGTAATCTTCACTTCAATTTTATTTTGCTTTGGTAAAACTCAGTTGGTACAACACTTTGAAAGGATTCCAGAGGTCTTGAGTTGAATTTATTAAAGTCGTTTCTTTTTGACCTGAAAATTGAAAAAAGAATTAGTTAATATTTTCTATGCTGTTGTTTCTTCGCTTCTTTTTTTTCACCTGTAGTTTCATCACTGCCTGGAGACATTTTTATCCCATTATTTGAAAGATGCTAATTAGTTGTTTACATAACAAGTGACTTTTTTTCCTGAACACTGTTACCATTGAACACTGAATTCCGTTGTGCGCTTGTGTTCACACAAAAATTCCCTACATTATTTGTGGTAGTTGGCAAGGCTTCTTAATCCTAAACTTTAAAAACATAATCTGAACGTCTGGTTTCAGGCCCTACATGTCCCTAGGCACGCTGCGGGACCAGGTGATCTACCCGGACCGTCATGCTGACATGCTCAGGAAGGGTATGACAGACAAGGACCTGGAAGGAATCCTAGACATTGTCAACCTCCAGCAGATTGTCACCAGGGAAGGGGGTACGAATATGTCTTTAATTAAGGGAATAAATGTGTGCTCCGGAGGTTTTTATCACTCGTTTAATACCGCTTAGAGTCTTGGTGCTGATAATTACCCGAGCCGGAGGCGAGGGTAATTATCAGCACCCAGACTATAAGCGGTATTAAACAGAGTGATAAATACCGACCGAGCACATATTTATTCCCATTCATAAATACCTTATCCGTAAAAAAATATCAAATAATTCGTTCAAAAAATCCCGATTTTGTTCAACAAGTTCACTTCATGCTTTTTGAAACATCCCTCTAGCAAAATAATGGAGTGTTCAGCTGGCGAGTAAGATGTAAACAACCCTTTTATGGAGATTGACGCGTGCGTAGCATGTTCTGCGCGATGTCATGCAGAACGCACCTGGGGCGTTGCATTTTGAATTTAGAACTATAAAATTCTGTCTCGCTTGTAGTGTTGCGCATGCCTACGTGAGGATTGTGAACGTTCAACCAATGAAACGGTAAGAGGCACTGGATTTTTAGGAGTCCACATTTTATTGTGACACTGGAAAAGTGTTTAAGACCAGCTAGCCATGTCTTTATCATCCGTTTAAGACCGGCCACATGACGGGCTCTCGACCAATAGGAATAGCTAAACTGTCTGAGGTATTTATGAATTAAGATTCATAAATACCTGAGACAGTTTACCCATTCCTATTGGTCAATAGCTCGTTGCATGGGTGGTTTTAAACGGTTGATAAAACACCGGCTGGCTGGTTTTTAAACACTTTTCCAGTGTCACACGAAATTCGGACTCCTATAAAATCTGGTCTCTTTAACCCTTTTATTGGTTGAACGTTCACAATCTTCACTTAGGCATGCACAATACTAGTACCAGTGAGTCTGTATTTCAGAGAGTCCTAGATTCACATTTCACCGGCACTGCTGCATTCTGCGCCACTCATGCCACGTGGCGCGCCAATCTCCATGTAAGAAGATTTGTAGTACTACTTGCAAGAGGCACAACCCATAACATAGCTAGATGGTGTTCAAAAAAACATGAAGTAAAATTGTTGAACAAAATCGTTCTGACAAAACTTGTTCTGAATTTTTTTACCCAAAGGTATTTATGAATGGAAATAAATATGTAATTGTTATACCTCTGTCTTGAATACTGTATTTTCATTGGCCTAGAACGATCACGTGTTAAGTTCATAAAAAGTCATGGCACACTCCCCATGGGATATCACGTACAGGTACAGGAGGCAGGAGTGTGCTATTACTTTTTACGTACGGTACGTATACGGTGTGAAACGCTTTGGTACCCACGCTATTTTCACCACGTTTTCACACATGAGTGGCGGCAGCAAACTAGCAGATGATCAGCTGTTTCGAGCACGCGTCATGCATGTGAGTTGCCGTTTGATTGTCATGATTGTTGTGTTTTTATCGCTATTTGTTTTTTATGATTTTTACATCAAAATCCAAAGAATCCAAGACAGAGGTATAACAAAACAATTGTTGACTGCTGTGATGTGGAATATGACTTTTTAACCCCCTCGGGGCGCATATCACCCTCGGCTTTCGGCCTCAGGTGCTATGGAAAAAATTGAAGTTTTGGGGGCATTTTGTAAAAAACCTAAAATTGTTCTTTTCTCACTGGATACTGAATGTAATGAGTTGAACTCTTCAGGGAATTCAATTCTGGCCTCTCGGCACCTCGTGTGATCTTTTGAGGAAATTTGTTGAAGTTGGATTTTTGGGTGAAAAACTGACTTTTTCGATGATGCCGGCTATGGAAAACGTTGAAGTTTTGGGGGCATTTTGTAAAAAACCTAAAATTGTTCTTTTCTCACTGGATACTGAATGTAATGAGTTGAACTCTTCGGGGAATTCAATTCTGGCCTCTAGGCACCTTGTGCGTACTTTTAAGGAAATTTTATGAAGTTGGATTTTTGGGTGAAAATCTGACTTTTTGATGATGCCGGCTATGGAAAATGTTGAAGTTTTGGGGGCATTTTGTAAAAAACCTAAAATTGTTCTTTTCTCACTGGATACTGAATGTAATGAGTTGAACTCTTCGGGGAATTCAATTATGGCCTCTAGGCACCTCGTGCGTACTTTTGAGGAAATTTGGTGAAGTTGGATTTTTGGGTCAAAAACTGACTTTTTTGATGATGCCGGCTATGGAAAATGTTGAAGTTTTGGGGGCATTTTGTTAAAACCTAAAATTGTTCTTTTCTCACTGGATACTGAATGTAATGAGTTGAACTCTTTAGGGAATTCAATTCTGGCCTCTCAGCACCTCGTGTGAACTTTTGAGGAAATTTGGCGAAGTTGGATTTTTGGGTGAAAAACTGACTTTTTCGATGATGCCGGCTATGGAAAACGTTGAAGTTTTGGGGGCATTTTGTAAAAAACCTGAAATTGTTCTTTTCTCACTGGATACTGGATGTAATGAGTTGAACTCTTCGGGGAATTCAATTCTGGCCTCTAGGCACCTCGTGTGATCTTTTGAGGAAATTTGGTGAAGTTGGATTTTTGGGTGAAAAACTGAATTTTTCGATGATGCCGGCTATGGAAAACGTTGAAGTTTTGGGGGCATTTTGTAAAAAACCTAAAATTGTTCTTTTCTCACTGGATACTGAATGTAATGAGGTAAACTCTTCGAGGAATTCAATTCTGGCCTCTAGGCACCTCGTGTGATCTTTTGAGGAAATTTGGTGAAGTTGGATTTTTGGGTGAAAAACTGACTTTTTCGATGATGCCGGCTATGGAAAACGTTGAAGTTTTGGGGGCATTTTGTAAAAACCTAAAATTGTTCTTTTCTCACTGGATACTGAATGTAATGAGTTGAACTCTTCAGGGAATTCAATTCTGGCCTCTAGGCACCTCGTGCGTACTTTCGAGGAAATTTTATGAAGTTGGATTTTTGGGTCAAAATCTGACTTTTTCGATGATGCCGGCTATGGAAAACGTTGAAGTTTTGGGGGCATTTTGTAAAAAACCTGAAATTGTTCTTTTCTCACTGGATACTGGATGTAATGAGTTGAACTCTTCAGGGAATTCAATTCTGGCCTCTAGGCACCTCGTGTGATCTTTTGAGGAAATTTGGTGAAGTTGGATTTTTGGGTGAAAAACTGACTTTTTCGATGAAGTTTTGGGGGCATTTTGTAAAAAACCTAAAATTGTTCTTTTCTGACTGGATACTGAATGTAATGAGTTAAACTCTTCGGGGAATTCAATTCTGGCCTCTAGGCACCTCGTGTGATCTTTTGAGGAAATTTGGTGAAGTTGGATTTTTGGGTGAAAAACTGACTTTTTCGATGATGCCGGCTATGGAAAACGTTGAAGTTTTGGGGGCATTTTGTAAAAACCTAAAATTGTTCTTTTCTCACTGGATTTTGGGGCATTTTGTAAAAAACCTGAAATTGTTCTTTTCTCACTGGATACTGGATGTAATGAGTTGAACTCTTCAGGGAATTCAATTCTGGCCTCTAGGCACCTCGTGTGATCTTTTGAGGAAATTTGGTGAAGTTGGATTTTTGGGTGAAAAACTGACTTTTTCGATGAAGTTTTGGGGGCATTTTGTAAAAAACCTAAAATAGGCACCTCGTGTGATCTTTTGAGGAAATTTGGTGAAGTTGGATTTTTGGGTGAAAAACTGACTTTTTCGATGATGCCGGCTATGGAAAACGTTGAAGTTTTGGGGGCATTTTGTAAAAACCTAAAATTGTTCTTTTCTCACTGGATACTGAATGTAATGAGTTGAACTCTTCAGGGAATTCAATTCTGGCCTCTAGGCACCTCGTGTGAACTTTTGTGGAAATTTGGTGAAGTTGGATTTTTGGGTCAAAAACTGACTTTTTCGATGATGCCGGCTATGGAAAACGTTGAAGTTTTGGGGGCATTTTGTAAAAACCTAAAATTGTGCGTTTCTCACTGGATACTGAATGTAATGAGTTGAACTCTTCAGGGAATTCAATTCTGGTCTCTAGGCACCTCGTGTGAACTTTTGTGGAAATTTGGTGAAGTTGGATTTTTGGGTGAAAAACTGACTTTTTCGATGATGCCGGCTATGGAAAACGTTGAAGTTTTGGGGGCATTTTGTAAAAAACCTAAAATTGTTCTTTTCTCACTGGATACTGAATGTAATGAGTTGAACTCTTCAGGGAATTCAATTCTGGCCTCTAGGCACCTTGTGCGTACTTTTGAGGAAATTTTATGAAGTTGGATTTTTGGGTCAAAATCTGACTTTTTGGATGATGCCGGCTATGGAAAACGTTGAAGTTTTGGGGGCATTTTGTAAAAACCTAAAATTGTTCTTTTCTCACTGGATACTGAATGTAATGTGTTGAACTCTTCAGGGAATTCAATTCTGGCCTCTCGGCACCTCGTGTGAACTTTTGAGGAAATTAGGTGAAGTTGGATTTTTGGGGATAAAATGACTTTTTCGATGATGCCGGCTATGGAAAACGTTGAAGTTTTGGGGCCATTTTGTAAAAAACCTAAAATTGTGCGTTTCTCACTGGATACTGAATGTAATGAGTTGAACTCTTCAGGGAATTTAATTCTGGCCTCTAGGCACCTCGTGTGATCGTTTGAGGAAATTTGGTTTAGTTGGATTTTTGGGTGAAAAACTGACTTTTTTGATGATGCCGGCTATGGAAAACGTTGAAGTTTTGGGGGCATTTTGTAAAAACCTAAAATTGTTCTTTTCTCACTGGATACTGAATGTAATAAGTTCAACTCTTTAGGGAATTCAATTCTGGCCTCTCGGCACCTCGTGTGAACTTTTGAGGAAATTGGTGCAGTTGGATTTTTGGGTGAAAAACTGACTTTTTCGATGATGCCGGCTATGGAAAACATTGAAGTTTTGGGGGCATTTTGTAAAAAACCTAAAATTGTTCTTTTCTCACTGGATACTGAATGTAATGAGTTGAACTCTTTGGGGAATTTAATTCTGGCCTCTAGGCACCTTGTTGGTACTTTTGAGGAAATTTTATGAAGTTGGATTTTTGGGTCAAAAT